TGAATATGGAAAAGAAATCATTTAACTAATCACCTACACGCATTAAATATTTAATTTACTATCTCACTATATATTGTAATGTTTAATATAAATTTGTACACTTTGTTGAAGAAGATGTCGCATACACAGCGAATCATCATGCCTTGATTTTATCAACATTCTGAGATTATATTAGGATATACTTTTACGGTGATTCTATCAGACTCGGCGCTCAACTTTTTTCAGGGAATTCATAATAAATATGGTCTAGGTGTTTAAAATAAAAAATTTCTTCCGAAAATATCACAAAATTCTTCAAATATTTTAGAAGTATCTTAACAAATATTTGCTCTTTAGTATTCATTCCTGTTAGTATAATTAGTCATAGAATGCCTCTAATTTACCATTTCATTTCAACTGTCATTCCTTTTGTAGAATAAACAGTATGGAAATAAGAGTATGATATAAACATATAGACAACTGCATACTACGATTTATGAGCATATTTACAAACCTCTTCACCTTAGTATAATTGTTTTTATATGATACCGTCGCTGATTAGACCGAATTGATCTGTCTCTATTGGCATATGGGGGCTCCTGTGCGGATACCACGATATTGCCATACCTATCAATTCGGTCCAATCAACAACGGTATCATATAAAAACAATTATACTAAAAACTATACCCGTCGCACAAGAAGTGTCTATCTTGGCTCAGTGATGTAGTGGATAACGTGCTGGTGTTTGAAGCCATCGCTCACGGGTCCGAATCCCAGTGGGAAAGACATCACTCACTGGGAAGCAGGTACATCCACCTGACAAGTCCCAAAGAGGACGAAATGCGCATCCTAAATTCCACTGCTAGCCATGATCCATCATCTTCACCTTAATGTATGAAACTGATTCATAATTGCAACAGCCTTCCATTTGAAACAAAAAATCAAACAAAACCAATCTATCTGTTTTTAATTGTAAACCCATATAAGAATTCACTTCTTGTTCTGCTTATCAAAGCGAGTAAATACTTAAATTTTTCCAATGGCTTTATTAACCAATCAGATTAATTTCACTTCCCTAAAAGTGCTACTTTTATGTTATTTAGAATATTTCTGAAATCTTTTCAAATTACCTGTAATATGAACTAAGATCAAGATTTGGCCGAAGAGTAAGGCAAATATTGGGCACTGAGTAAAACGTTGATATTAGATAAACAAGGAACTTGTATAAGTTACAGGGTGCTTGAAATGACATAATTCGAACGTTTTGCATGGAAGCTTTGTCTAGGTTTTTTTGGGCAAATAATCAAGAATTAAAATATCAAAGGTACATAAATGAACCGAAAAAAGTCTACTTAATCTCCTTGCCCAATCCACTTCGTAGGGTTATCGTCTTTTTAAAATATGATTAACCACACAATATATGGTCATAAGCTTTACCGATGAAAAGAGCCTAAAAGATTTGGATTTCGTCAACGATGATTATTTATGTCTAATGTCCAGTGTCACACAAAATCGATGATCTGCGGGCAAAAACTAACAAGTTCACAGAAGAGGCAGGACAGGGCAGTGAAGACGGGACTTCTTTCAGGTTAATGTGGAGAAGACAAAGGTGATGAAGATAACCAACCAACAACAGCATCAATAACAAGCACCAATCACCATCAACGGGAGAAATTTAAAACAAGTTATTCCTCTCACTTACCTGGTCAAAGCAGCATCGTTCCAACTACAAGCGGCACAGACACAGATGGGGATGTTATAAACAGGATAGGAAAGACAGCAAAACTGGCTTTCATTAACCTGAAATCAGTATGGAGATCGACTCCACTCAGCACAAACAACGAGATCCAAATTTCCAACATGTGATGGTTCAGAAACTTGGTGTGTCACATAAAGCATTTCCAACAAACTACACACATTCATCAACAGCTACCACCTACGCTCACTCCATACTGAAGATGAGATCGATCAGATGGCCAGAATAATGAGAATAAGCAACAAGGAACTATGGCTAGCTGGCTGGCTGTCTGGCTGGCTGGCTGGCTGATGACGAACCAACGAAGTAAGAACCTATCACCCAACAGATATGCGGAAGAAGGAATTGGAGATGTATTGGATTGGTCATAGTGTGAGAAGTCTGATTGGGGACATCGTGTGGCATGTCAGGTCGTCGAGTGTAATCCGAAGGGGAGAGGACGAGTTGTGGTGTGCGAGGCGAGGCGAGGTTGATATGGTGTAGATGGTGTGAGGAATAAATGAGAGCTTGTGGGTAGTTTTGGGGTGATGTTGAGAAGACTGGAGAGAAGAGAGTGCAATGTAGGTGTGTTACAGGAGCTTCATATTCCACTAGGAACCCAAGGTAAATTAATAATAATAACCACACATTACACACACGCCAACCATCCAGCCACAGACACACAATTTTGCGTTGAAGGATTAGCTATCGTATTTGAGGAAGGCGATGACCATACAAAGTGGATTGGATAGGAAGATTAAGTACACGTCTTTGGATTCATTTGTCATTGAATTTTTAATTTTGATTACTTCCCTGAGAAAACTCGAAAAAGCCTTCCAAGCGAAACGTTCGAATTATATCACTTCAAATATACTATGACTTACACAAATACAAACAATATTTAATAGAATTGAATTTTTCTCCTTTTTTACTCTGTATTTTCTCGTTTACATTATTATTGGCTCAAGATCAAAACTATAACTGACCTGTAGACTTCCATTTCTTGTTCAAGGTCTTTTAAGTTCCTAAAGTAAGTTTTTTCCATGCTGGATGCATTTCCGAAGTAGCTATTAATCTGTCTTTATGAATACGTCACCAACTGAGAAATACCTTTTTATATCATTTCGTGGAATATTGACTAAAAAAGTATTGAGGTTCACTTAACGTGTCTGTAAGAACGATGATATGTTAAACAAAGTTGCTGGGCTAATCCTATTAAGCCTAAAAGGATGGTTGGGTTTAAAGTATGTTTCCTGTGAACGATAACTTCTAATTACTTAGTGCCTTCCGAAAAGAACAATATTTCATAACAAACTGAAAACTAAATATTTCTTTCGTGGTAATTAAAAAATCGTTCTTATCTTCTTGTTTAAAATGCTGATACGCTCCAGGAAAATCATATCATTTCAATGAATCGAAAACGTTTAAGATTAAATTAGTCGACTGTTACAGATTAGTTTTTTTTTCTTCAACTAATAACAATTCCTACGCATATATGTTTGCGATGCAGTTAAAAAAAGAAATGTAGCTCCTGAAAATGTATTTTGTCTGAATAACACTTTTTTGTTTGCAAAAACAGCATACTTGTGAATTTAAATTCATCAATTCATATTGAATAACAAAGTTTCACTATGATACTTAAATTACTGACACTAGGTGATGAGTGGATGTGAAAGTACAAGTTAGATCTTGGCACTTTCTGACTTACTACTAACTGAGGTAAAAAGTCCATTTGCTGACTGGAGTTTAACTTCATGTCAATCATAAACGATCTTGACCAGTTGCTGTATGAATTCGTGATACGTTATGATATTGGTTGCCTAGTCTATGTTTTTCAGTACAGTCCAAATAGACCTGATCTAGAAAGGAAAATTGTTGTATTGGTTAACAATGCGGCTTTATTTTCATCTTTAATCCTCATTAACACCAGTTTACCAAATCATGTCCGTTTGAAACAGTCACATTAAATGATTTTAAAACTTCTAAGAAATAGCATAAAGATGACCCAGTAAGATGTATATCTTTAAAAATAGTCCCATACAACTCAGCGAGATATGAAAAATATCATTAGAGCATAGTATGTTAACTAAATATCAGCTGAGGACTAAGACGTTTTGAAAACATTTAGTAAATACCTCAGACCATATTTGATTTTTGTAAGTGGGATAAACTAGCTAAAAAGGTGCACTTTATTCTGATTCAATACAATCATTATTTATCCATTGAAGTAGTGGTATGTTCAAGAAATATTCAAGAAAAATTTATATCAACCTTGTAAAGTTAGCCTCCTCAGTTGAATGGCTAAACGATTTTAATGTCAGATTAAACTAAACAAAAAACATAACAGACAGATGAATTTTTGTATAGATATACATCTGAATTATTTTTCTTCCTGTTTTATTGTGAAGTAGGGAATTTTTTCCAATAAATGACCACTTATAAAAACCATTCATCCATCTTAAAAATGTCATTACTTAAATAATTAAATTGACACTGTCTAGTGCCTTAAATTTCTATTGTTATTCCACTGTAATTGGTTGACGGACAAAATAAATTTTGAGAAATATTAGGTACTAGACATAATTACAAGTTACATAGTATGAATTATATGCTTATGAAGTTGCCTAGTCTGTTGAACTTACACCACAGAGAACACCAAACAACTATCATTTTTACATATATGAAAAAAGATTTGATTTGAAGGTTTTTTTAGGATTCATTTATTGATTTCAGGTTGATATTCATCATAGACTGACATCAGTTAAAGAAACATTGGAAACCAGAGAGTACTTGGTAGGTATTTCACTATAGTATGATACTTTTCATCATTGTACACCTTTCAGGTTGCACGGCTAACACGTTAACATTGAGCCAGTGGGTTGGAATTCAAATTTTCACATTTCCTACTGGTACCAGTTCATGAAGCATCCCAGAATACCAGAAGAAAACAGATGTTCAGAGCTTCCAGATTTCCAATGTTTCTCTAAATAACGTTAGACCATGAAGAATACTAGTCTGAGAAAAGATTTGATCTAATATTCTCGCGAAAAATTCTCTTGAGTAAAACACCATGTTCTCAAAAAAACTCATGTTAACAAGGTGAAGTTATTTTAGTCCAAATCCTATTTTTGACACTTCATTTCCTATAGGTATATCTCGTCTAATGTTAAATGAAGCTTTAATATTTATCATACAATGGTTGCACTTCTATTATGTTAGTAAATGTATCCTGATTTAATTTGTAACTGAGAGGAACACATGAACTTGAATAACAAATGAACTTACAATCATTTAATAATATTTTGATATAATCCAATTAATGTGATGGATAATTTTTTTAATTACAGGAAATATTATTTTTTCGCATTAATAATAATTCTACTTTTAATGTTTTATTTTATGATTAAATACTATTTTGCGTTGTTATTGGTATTGCTTCTATGAATGATATCACCGAAAATAAATTTATTCATTGATAACTTTATTCATTTTATGACTCAGTGGGAATGTTTAAATCTTAGTATTTTATGTGGTAACTGAAAACTTCTGTATCTAAGACCTGTTCATTGATAATAATAACAATAATGATGAAAATTGTAATATGCTAAAAAATTGTAATATCTTCCTTTTCATTTATTTTCTGTTTTGTTTAAATCATTCAATTTCTTAAAAAGAAATATAAAATCATTTTGATTGGTTAAAACAACTCTAACCAATTATATTATTTATAATTAAATGAACATATAAATTATTATGACAAGAATTATTTGTTTATTGTCTTTATAAAAGAAAGTGGTTGGAAAAGCTTATAAATCATTAGTTTACAAAATATATAAAAGATATCATAAAATGTTGATATAGTTTCAACAATGAAACAGTAGATACTTTTTTGTAGAAAAACATTTTGAAATAAAATTCTTTTAGTAGAAAGAATAAATTTGTTGTGAATTGTAAGGAATGTAAACTCATTGATAAAGTGAATATTGGTTATAAATTTCTCCTTATAATGAAGATAACTTTTAGCTGAATACTTCTGACAATCTGTCACATATATTTCAAAGTTGGTTTAAAGTGAATAACATGTCATTTTTATTGAAGCCGTTTTGAAGCTAACAAATATTGAACAACTGTAAAGGTTATGGTTATTTCAGATAAACTTCTACTAAGACATATAAGCATTATCAAGATGTGAACTATGTTTGAAGATGATTTTAAGTGATTTTCATTACGGATTTACATCATCTGAAGGATCACTAAAATCATGAAAGAAGTCTACAGTGGCTGTGTTTGAGCCTGAGATCACTGACTGTCCTTGACTGGATCTTTCATGCTAAATACTACATACTTGCATTTTGTCAATGCTTCTTCAACTGACTTCAGTCTATGATAGAAACTATTTTGGGATTAATCAGTCACTCTATACATAACCCCAATTATATGATGGCTTATTACCCATAGCATAAATAAAATGATTCGTTGTGCGACTTGTTTACAAAGTAAATGATCAAGAAAGATATTTCTTGTGGCTGAGAAATTTTCTAACAAATTGTAGTGTGAACAAACTATCCCCATACTAGGTCAAGATTACAAGATTTGTCCTGTAACATAATGGTGCTATAAACTGACGAACTAACGCTATTGAACAACACAAAAAGTATGACATAATGCACACTATTCGGTAGATTTTGCCAGCCACATGAGAATGATCTAAACATAGAAGCCCGAATGCCAACAGAGACTTGCCGATTCACCGAAAAATACCAACTAATAGGAAGGTGACAACAAATACCCATTGCATAAGAAGCTGCTATCTTGACTCATTTACATAGCTGAGCTTCCTCCATTATTTGAAGTGCTAGGTTCTGGATTCGAGTCTCACTGGCGACACCATTGTTTATTAAAATGCAAATACACTCAGCTGATAAGTCGTAAATACAATGAATTGCGTATCATGGATTCCACTACTGATCATCGTCAATCAAATTCCATCATAATACAGACTGTAGAAAGCTTATCGAAACACTTGGTATAGTATTTACTTTCAAAGTAATTTCAAATAAAAATTGTATATTATGTTAGCATATTGTTGTCACAATCAAAAATAGCTTGTACTTCCTTTAGTCCTGATCTTTTTACAAGAATTCATAGGAAGTCTTGAAAAAAATGGGTGTCTTCCACTCAGATACCCTATTATGCTGAGTAATTTGGCAAAAACGTTGTTTTCGAATATTTACGCTAGAATCTATGTACCTTTAGAATACCCTGTCTAGATTTATGCAGCAGTACAATGTAAGTAGGGCTTTTCGCAACATAGTCTTAGTTGTTTGTCACAACGAAAAGTTAAAGAACCATATCTCACTAAATTCGAAACTTTGTGCCTCTTGATACTTTTTAATGGGTTGGACTAGAATAGGTTTTTTCTGCCTTCTTAAGATTTGAATGATATTCAACAAACTCATATCATAAAATAACCCTTATTACTATTCAAGTTTTTGTTATTTCAAAAAATTATCATTACCTTGACGAGTCTGATGAATCTGAAATAGGGTGTCACGCAACCTTGATTCCATCACTAATCACCAACATGAATACAACACCATAAATATTCGGCAGCAGCAAGGCCTTTAGACAGGATGCCAACTGCCAACAGAGGTCGATTAGTTTGACTTCGTATAGTGACGGGAAAACATAACTATCAATTTACAACTGATACCCCCAGTGATCCAGTGGATAACGCTTTGGCGTTTGAATCGAAGTATTTTGGGTTTAAGTTTTAATAAAAACAACACCAATCGTTGGAATGCAGGTACATTCAGCTGACCAGCTCTAAATTGAGGTTAGACATTCATCCTGGATTCCACTGCTAGTCGCCGAGATGAATACAGTTTATTTACACATCTTTATTAAGTCACCAAGTTAATATTGTATTCGACTGAACAACACCTTACAAGAAGAATGAATCTGAATTTATTCAAAAAAAATCCTGTAGGTTTTAACAACCCACACAAAGAAGTAGTTTCTTCTAACCAACGATTTCAACAGCTTTGATAAAATGTAAATTCATTTCAGATAAACTATAAGGGGTGTTCAAATTTAGAGGCATCCTATAATATCAACTTAATTTTCCTTATATAATTATCTTTTTCTATAAGAACTATACGTCTTCCATGAAAATAAGTAATAACCAATTATTCCGTTAACCTTGAGTTGTTCAGCACAGACATTTTGTCAATGCTAGCCTTTTGATACTGGCTATAATTATGCACTAGAGGTGATTTGTGATGTTTAAATGGCAATCTCGATATGGTAACCGGTCCTGTTTTCAGAGAAATACTGTTGGCATGCGCACACAAATATTTAGACCATTTGTTGAAGCAGCAACCTAGGTATTAGAATCAATCGTCACTCCAATAGTCAAACTAAAAATCTGGATCCATCATGTAGACAACATTTTGTAATCATCAGAACAGGTAAAATTGAAGTACACGTTCAGTTTAATCAATCAGACTTGTTTAAAGGATTTAATTCACAACATAAAAAGGAGGAAATAAGGCAATCATTTTTCTAGACTTTCTTATCAGTAGAACACATGGCAGAACTTCTCAGACACAAGAATGAGGGAATGTAAGACAAAAATCAAGTTTTGGAAGATAAACGTTACATCCCAATATCTCGTAATAAAGGTTGTTTACAGGCACTGCTCGGACTTACAGCAGCTGCACTCAACAAGTGAGGAAGTCTGAGGAAAGTCACCTTTATGAAGTATTCAGAGCTAATGAATATTCATTCAACTCCATCTGTCGAAGGAATACATCAGTCTACAAAAGAGATCAGTCTGCAACATATGACGGATGGCTTGGAAACCGTCAACCGATTACTTCACCCATTTGGTATCAGAGTAGTACACAAACCAAGCAAATCCCTGTAAATTATCTCATGTAAACTGAAGGATCTACTGTCGCAATGAAGACGAGATGGATACAATCTGTAAAATTAGCTTCAAACACTGTTAACATCATTATGCTGGCTGATTCAGTAGTCGAACAGGCCAAAGAACTTATGATCACCAACTCGGAGTCAGAAGATGTGATACATCATCATTGATATCGATATGAGGAGATGAAATCAACGGCAAATTCCACTGGGACAAAATGGAAGTACCACAACACGAAAACTCAAAAACTGCAGGTGAATTCCTGAAAGCGTGGTGGTCTAATCAAATGGTAATCAACACACACGTGGACATCAATCCAATATACGAACTACTAATAAGGGATGGCCTAAATGGAAACCAATCAAGCAAATTATTGATCAAACATTAGGTCAACAGCATAGATCAGAAAATAAAAATCAAAAAGGCCAACCTCTGAGAAGGAAAGAAAAAAGGTCATCCTTACCCACAAACCTATAACGTTAAACGTTGGCAAATATCCTTGATGAACATTTATGCAACTTTAAAATACATCGCTTCCATATGAAGTAAATATCAATGAAGTCACCAAGCCTGATGTTGAAACATCCAAAAACATGCTTCAAAGCTCAGAGAACGCAAATCAATCATCATTCTTATCCTTAGCTACAAATTCAAGTTAGTTTTTATCATTGTAACACCAAACCAAATCATTGTCAACTTGTATTTTTGCATATTCAACAAAATAAATATCCACTTAAATATTGAGTTGTTTTTGCACTATCAAAACATATTTTTTTCGAAAAGTAGTATAGGTAGGTGAAATGGTTTATTTCTTTACCAACATTGATATATTCTACCGACGATGATCTTTGGTATCAGAAACTTTAACAGACAGAAGAAAAATTTATGCTGTTACTTGTATTATCTCCTTGTTGATTTGACCAAAGTGGTCGATCTCTACTGACATATGGGCTTCTGCGCTGATGTCTTGATGTTGCACATGTTTTAATTTTATATTGCTGATGGATAGTGGCTATCAGTTGAATCCAGGACTAACGTTTCATCCTACTTGTGTCTCATCAGCTGGATGTATCTGCATCCTAGTGAGCGACATTTTTCCAACTAAAATGGGATAATAAGAGTAACAACATAAAAATTATACTCGTCTCACAAGAAGTGGCTATGGGAACTCATTGCTTAAGTGGATAATGCTCTGGTGTTTGAAGCAATCGGCTCCTGATTCGAGTCTTAGTGGGAAGAAAGTCGTTCACTGAAAGGCAGGTACATCCAGCTGACGAGTCCAAGATGGAACAAAACGCTAGTCCTGAACCATGCCTCTGGCCACTATCTATCACTTATATAAAATAATATTTCTTAACATACATTTATCCAAACAAAGCACAACTTACTGAAGAATGCAAAAGTTGGGAAGCTATACGAGTCAGATTAACTGGTTTCTAAACAATTACAATTGACTGGATGGTTAACGCGTTCGCCCTGAAACCTGAAGGTCCTGGGTTCTATTTCTTGCCGAGTGGTGGGTGCGTACTGCTGAGGAGTCCTATACTAGGACGAAACAGCTATCCAGTGCTCCCAGGTTTTCAATGGTTCCCCAACTGATGTTAGTCCATGAGGAATACACCTTTAAATTAAAAATTCGACATTAGTAGTCGAATTATTCATAGTCAATGGGAACATAGCATTATACAAGTAGTGTTTTTACAAAAGT